AAACAAAAAGGCTCGTCAACGCGTTTATCAAACTAATCTTGACAGAATTTATGCGGTTTTTGTTAATATGCGTGTATATTAATATGATCTCGAGATAGAAATCGCGCGAAGAAATGATAAATTGCGGATCGTAAATCTTTTTTTTTCTTTCCGTGGAATGGATCAATGAATGCATAATTGGTTTATTAACCGCGTTAATAAAGGATGCTTTCGAAAACGGATCAATTTCGACCTACTTGACTGGTCGAGTCGACCAATCTTTTCGTTTAGAAATAGGAATAAAATATGTTTTGGATTTGGAAATGATGATGCGAAAACAATTTTTGATAATATCGTTCGAATAGATTTGCATCGAGTTTTTAAATTTTTAGAATATTTTTTACTAATATCGGTCGATTCGAAGAGGTCTCTTCGATTAGAATTCTATCGTTCGTGATAAAAAGAATTTATTTATAATTAATATTATAAGTAAATTGTGATAAAAGAAAAGGGAGGGAGGGAAAGATTCGATCGAAACCAAATAAGATGACTGATATAACGCAATGCATCATTGGTATTCCGCTCGGTCGGATCTAAATGAAAGTGATTTAATTTCTTTGAATCTGTCACGCCTGTTGAATAAAGAAAATTAAACCTCTAAAGTAGCAACAGCAAATTCTCAGTTTAGATTAAGCTGATATATAATCTTGATATCGCGTGGAATTTAATTTCTAGGTTAAGAATTCGAATTATTTAGATAGATCGTGGTATTTGGATAATTGGAAGATTGTATTTTAATCTAACGCTTACTCGCTATGTTAATTAAAGTTGATTCATTCGTAGAATTTAATCGCCAACCCATTTATTATCACATTTCTTTTCCTCTCGATTATTACGTAAACTCTGTTGGTTTTAATCACTTTATAATGAATTTTTAAAACAAAATTCTTACTACGCTTCGGTTTAATGAACAAAATTTTCAACATCTCCATTAAAAGCGCGAAATTGAAATAAGATATTATCCATATCGCGTTCGAAAGACGATTTAATAACAAAGAAACACTCTTGATAGCAGCAGAATCAATTAGAATTAGATTCGTAATTTAGAGAAAGAAAATAGATAGATTCCCTCCCTCTCCCATTTATCCAAACGAAACAACAATTTTATAAATCCGTCTTCGTCTTCTTGTTGGACAAATCGTTCGTTGCCACGCAGATCGGAAATACGAGTAAATATATCACGATAAAATCGACACGAGGCTCGTCGCTCGCGATCATTCGGAATGTATCACCGGAAGTAATCAGGAGTCCATAAAGCGGCGTGTCGCCCTGAGGACATACGGTGCCGATAAACTACTTGGACGGTGGTTCGATAAAATTTCACATTAGCGTTGCTCGTCGACAAACACCTCGGCTAAAGTCTCGATGGAAAATCCATGGATGGAAAAGTGTCGAGAATACAAGGTAATAAATCCCGAGGAACCGCGTATGTAGCGATGGAATCGAGTCATGTCAGATGATTTTATGAAACCAATCACTCGAATTCGATGAAATTTCCTGCACTTCACGTTCACGTAACGTGATATCTATTATATTCTTTAGTCTCTTCCATTCCCTTTTATAAACGTTAAAGTAAATAAATTATGTAATAATTGGCAATTGTTTTAATATAAAAAAATTTATGAAATTATCAAAAATCTCGTCAGAATGGACAAGAATCACACGGCAATTCTACAACGAAACGAATCATCTATTGACGATAAACTCTTCGTTACTTGCGCACTTGAACTCGATCCCATCGCTGTTCTAACGCGCACAATGAATATCTATTGTCCCTTTTACTTTCTCCCGCGGCGATGGTGCGCGCAACACCATCGTCGTGTGCCGTCTCGTGCAACAGAGGCCACGTGTATACGTGGACACCTGTTCCCGGTCGTTGGATTCGATTCGAAACTGCGTGACATCTTTAGAAAATCGAACGACCGAACGTCAAGGGAAAACATACGCGTTCCATTCGAGTTTAAGTGGAGTTAGAAATCGGTTTGCCTGCGCGAGACGCGCATTCGTCTCGATTGAGAGAGAGAAAGAGAGAGAGAGAGGATGCGCGTCGAAAATCGTTGCTCCTCTCGTCGTTAGAAAGCAATTTGTCGGAAATGGTGGTCGAAAGAAAGGAGCGATATCGAGAAAAGTTATCGCGCTCTGTCTTCGATGAGCGTCATCTCGAACGGACGCTTTGTTGCGAGATGGCTTTGCTGCAAAAAAAGAACGAAGGATGAAGGATGTTGATCCTTTTCCATAGGAAACTTCGATCGAGCTTTCGAAGTTTAGAGTTGTCTGATAGATGGATGAAAGAATGCTGGATTTCCTTGATGCGATCCTTCCATTGTACTGAAATTTTTCCAGAAGATGTTGTTCTTGGGGGGATTGATCGACGGGCGAGAGGAAGAAGGCCGTGGTCGCTTTTTTAAATATTTCTTTCTTTCTTTTTTCCCCTCTCTTTCACCTCTCGTTATTGATATCTCTATCACGCCGTGTCTAATTCCTTGGCATGAGAGGTTTCTTGAATTAACCGAGGCGGGAGAAGAACCCGTCTAGACTAGTTTTTTTCAACCGCGGTTCAGCCGTTTCAAACAGCCGGGACTACGTAATAAGCCATCTCGATCGCGAAACAAAGAAACACGCGTCAAATACGGGTCTGTCTATTATCTTCGAACTCGAGTTTCTGCTCTCTTATTCGTAATATTCGTGTTATTCGTAATCGAGGATAAATCCATCACGTGTTTCCTGTATCCTTTCCTTCCTTCCCTTCCTTCGTTGCGTTTAAACAACAAAATCGTTTAAACAAAAATAACCGTTTTCGGATAAGATATCCGTAACAATACAACTCTCCTCATTTTTACGTATTCTCGCTTCGATCTTCATCTCTTTGAGACGCGGAGAAAGTTTATTTCTTCGAATTTCAAGAGAAAAAATAAACGAAAAATACATTTTAAATTTTTCAAGTCAAACTTGATTGTTTATTGGGTATAATCGATGAATCGGCGAGTTGGTCGTTTCGTTCACTCGAAACACGAATATTCTTCTAAAACATTCCCGGAGAGAAAGTGTTGCCACGATTAATCATTAAGTGCCATCGACGACCATATGGCGAGTTGGCAAGAATGCGTTTGCACGGTAGCTAATCAGTGAAAGTGCCACACGATCGAGTAGCTGCACTCCTTTTGAAAATCGAATCGACCCACTTCTCCTACTTCATTCCCCACGTATCGCGCCCTCTTCCTTCAAAATCCATCTCCTTTTTTTTCAATCCCATCCTGGAACACTGGCGCGTTTCAACGCCGTTTTACTTCTCCTTAAGCGTTCTACTTAACCACTTCGTAATCGCGAACGAGATATTCCGACGCAATATCTTTCTTACAACAGATATCTCGACGAGTTTCTTCTATTAACGTACCCAACCCTAATTCCACTATTGCTCCGTGAAAATTCAAACTTGCAAGTTGATTATTCTCAACACTGAATCCGATTCGAAGTTCGTTGCACGAGAATAAGTTTTAACTAGCCAAGATTTTTAAATTCCAACCAAGAGTTTTCTTTCTTTCAAGGCTTTGAATACACTTATCGCTCGAAGTCTCGATTTTTCACGGTGCATGTATAGATTGGAAGTGTTACAAATCGCCGGTACGATATGTGTCGCGTCCATATCTCGTCCACGTTTGCGGATAAGTGGGTTACGCATCTTTCGTCTCGTTCCAGTCCCCTACTTGTCGTTTCATTTCCTACGATGACTCTGCTCCTCTTAAACCGAGGATCGTTGCATCTCGAACGATTCCCATCCTATCTAAAGATTTATATCAATTCGTCACAAGTTTCTTCTATATCCCTTCTCCCACAAATAGTCCCTGTACGCCATTTTCTAATTGTCCCTCGACTCTCCCGATTCTGTCGACCGAGTTTTCACGAACGGAAACATCATCCACTTTCGCTCGGATGAAATTGGACGGTTGTTAGAAACGGTTGTTACGGATATGCAATCATCGTTTTTTTTTTTACAGTCGTAG